AGATGCACTGAAACAGGCACTGACCAGTGCCTTAAATGCGAAAGCAGCTTGCTACTATATCTCCCCAACACAATCACTCACCGAGAACCCCTTGCCAGTGCCTGGGGATGGTTTTAAGAGAAAAAGCATGATTTCCAAGCTGACAGCCCCTGTGCACAAAGCGCGACTGTGCAGTGACAACAGAGCAGCCTGGGGCACAGGAGCTAGCTGACCTCTGCTGCAGCTTTCGCCGGTGGATTTTTATTGTTCACCACTTTCCCGAAGTGCAGGCACTGAGAAAAAAGCAACCAAGATACTGGGATCAAAGAGCAAACACAGCCAGTAAGCCCCACCAGAACAGCAGGGAAAAAGAGGACCTACCGGAGAGGCCTGTGGCTCAGGGCTGGTCAGGGGCAGGAAGGATCAGAGAAACGACCCTCCCTTCCCGAGGGCAACCGGGAGAGGAGCCGGAGCACTCGGTCACCCAAGAGGAAGCTGCTGCTAGCACAGAGCACCGAGCTGAAATCCCTTGTCCTGCTTTCCCAGGTAGCCAAGGAAAGCCCGGAGCTGCAGCTCCACAGCCAGCGAGGCCAGCTCTCCAGGGACCAGGATGCAGCTGGAAAATAACATTCCCCAGAACCAAGGCCTGTCACGAGCACTGCTTGCTGAGCAGGACACCACTCACCTTGGCACAGCAAAGCAGGGAGTCCTCCCGAACTACTCTGCCCTGGAAAATCCACACATCCCATTCTACACACCTGCCTCTGAGGAGAAGAGGGCACAAATGTGGCAGAGAAGCACAAGAGCAGATGGAGCCCTCCCTCCTGGCAATCCTCCCCTCCACGCACAGGCTCCCGCAGTCTGCCCTCCGCCGTGGCACTGCCCAAAAGCGGCTCCCCCTTCCAGGAAACAGCACCCACCCCCACCGTGGGAGACCGGGAACCTGCAGGTGCAAGGATGAAGAAAAACACCCAAGAAGTTGGCAGGATGGCTTCTCCCGATGCCCTTGTGAGCAGAGCCCGCAGATCCACGTTGTTGCTTCCCGGCACAGCTCGCGCTGGGAGCCACGGCACATCCCTGCTGCGCTGAGTGGCTGCCCAGCTCGGGGCACTGCTGTGCTCCTGCCAGGCCTA